AGGTGGGGATATAGTTTTGGAGTGGTTGGTGCAATTATTTAATAAATGTATGAAGAGGGTAAGGTACCTAGGGATTGGCAGAGAGCATGCATAGTTCCTTTGTATAAAGGCAAAGGGGATAAAAGAGGTGCAAAAATTATAGGGGGATAAGTCTGTTGAGTGTACCTGGTAAAGTGTATGGTAGAGTTATAATTGAAAGAATTAAGAGTAAAGACGGAGAATAGGATAGCAGATGAACAAGGAGGCTTTAGGAAAGTAGGGGGTGTGTGACAGGTTTTACATGGAAAATATAAGTGAACAGTATTAGATAAGGCTAAAGAGGTCTTTGTGGCATTTATGGATTTGAAAAGCGTATGACAGGGTGGATAGGGGGCAATGTGGCAGATGTTGCAGTGTATGGTGTAGGAGGTAGGTTACTGAAAGCAGTGAAGAGTTTTTACGAGGATAGTGAGGCTCAATGTTGAGTATGTAGGAAAGAGGGAAATTTTTTCCCAGTAAAAGTAGGCCTTAGACAAGGATGGTGATGTTACCGTGGTTGTTTAATATATTTATAGATGGGGTTGTAAGAGAAGTAAACTGCGAGGGTTTTGGCAAGAGGCGTGGAGTTGTAAAAGATAGAAAGAATCACACACAAAGTGGGAAGTTGTCACAGCTGACTCTTTGCTGTGACACTGTGCTCTTGGGAGATTCTGAAGAGAAGTTGAGAGATTGGTGGATGAATTTGGTAGGTGTGCAAAAGAAGAAAATTAAAGGTGAATACAGGAAAGAGTAAGGTATGAGGATAAGCAAAAGATTTAGGTGATGAAAGATTGGAATATCAGATTGGAGGGAGAGAGTATGGAGGAGGTGAACGTATTCGATATTTGGGAAGGGACGTGTCAGGCGGATGGGTCTTGAAGATGAGGTGAATCATAGAATGATGAGGAAAAAAGATGTGAGTGGTGCATTAGGGAGTCTGTGGAAACAAAGAACTTTGTCCTTGGAGGCAAAGAGGGGAATGTTATGAAGAGTATAGATTTTACCACGCCTTATATGGGTTGTGAAGCGTGGGTGATGAATGTTGCAGCGAGGAGAAGGCTGAGGCAGTGGAGATTGTATGTTGAGGGCAAATGTGTGGTGTGAATATAAGCAGAGAAGATTCGAGTTTGGAAGTTAGGAGGAGGTGCGGGATTACCAAAACTGGTTGTCCAGAGGGCTGAGGAAGGGTTGTTGAGGTGGTTGGAATGTAGAGAGAATGGAGCGAAACAGAATGACTTCAGAGTGTAATCAGTCTGTAGTGGAAGGAAGGCGGGGTAGGGTTGTCGCTAGGAAGGGTGGAGGGAGGGGTGTAAAGGAGGTTTTGTAGTGCGAGGGCTTGGACTTCAGCAGGCAATGCGTGAGCGTGATTTGATAGGAGTGAATGGAGACAAATGGTTTTTAATACTTGACGTGCTGTTGGAGTGTGAGCAAAGAACATTATATGAAGGGTTCAGGGAAACGGCAGGCCGGACTTGAGTCCTGGAGATGGGAAGTACAGTGCCTTGCACTCTGAAGGAGGGGTGTTATGTTGCATTTAAAAACTGTAGTTGTAAAGCACACCTTTGGCAGACAGTGATGGAGTGAATGATGGTGAAAGTTTTTCTTTTTCGGGCCACCCTGCCTTGGTGGGAATCGGCCGTGTTGATAATAAAAAAAAAATTAATTAAACAACCCATGGATGACATTAATTAATGGTGAATAATAAATATTTTAAACAACCATGGTGAATTAATAAAATATATTAAACAACCATGGTGACATTAATAAATATATTAAACAACCATGGTGACATTAATAAATATATTAAACAACCATGGTGACATTAATAAATATATTAAACAACCATGGTGACATTAATAAATATATTAAACAACCATGGTGACATTAATAAATATATTAAACAACCATGGTGACATTAATAAATATATTAAACAACCATGGTGACATTAATAAATATATTAAACAACCATGGTGACATTAATAAATATATTAAACAACCATGGTGACATTAATAAATATATTAAACAACCATGGTGACATTAATAAATATATTAAACAACCATGGTGACATTATAAATATATTAAACAACCATGGTGACATTAATAAATATATTAAACAACCATGGTGACATTAATAAATATATTAAACAACCATGGTGACATTAATAAATATATTAAACAACCATGGTGACATTAATAAATATATTAAACAACCATGGGGACATTAATAAATATATTAAACAACCATGGTGACATTAATAAATATATTAAACAACCATGGTGACATTAATAAATATATTAAACAACCATGGGTGACAATAATAAATATATTAAACAACCATGGTGACATTAATAAATATATTAAACAACCATGGGTGACAATAATAAATATATTAAACAACCATGGGTGACATTACATTTAGGATATCAGAATCAACACAAAATTTGTCTATTAAAAGTTTATTACAAAATATTATATATTCATACAAATTAATTTACAAGTAGGAGAAACAAAGATTCACAGCCTGACTAGACGTAACTAAATCTCTTGATCCAAGGAATTTGAGCTGCTCTCGCCTGCCTCGGATCACAAACGTAATCATCTCCCATTCCAGAGGAGCCGTATGACTCCCTACGGGTCCAGCGCTTTCCCCGGGAATATGATTGGAATGTAGATACCTAATATATATATAAATATATATATATATATATATATATATATATATATATATATATATATATATATATATATATATATATATATATATATATATATATATACAACGCTAATAATATAAATAAAAATATAAATAAAAATCAAAGGAAATTGTGTTTTGTTTGGAATGGTTTATATGGTAATTTTAACTGGTTGGTCGTTGTAACTGGTTGGTCGTTGTAACTGGTTGGTTGTTGTAACTGGTTGGTAGTTGTAACTGGTTGGTCGTTGTAACTTGTTGGTTGTTGTAACTGGTTGGTCGTTGTAACTGGTTGGTCGTTGTAACTGGTTGGTAGTTGTAACTGGTTGGTCGTTGTAACTTGTTGGTTGTTGTAACTGGTTGGTAGTTGTAACTGGTTGGTCGTTGTAACTTGTTGGTTGTTGTAACTGGTTGGTCGTTGTAACTGGTTGGTCGTTGTAACTGGTTGGTCGTTGTAACTGTTGGTGTTGTAACTGTTGGTGGTAGTTGTAACTGGTTGGTCGTTGTAACTTGTTGGTTGTTGTAACTGGTTGGTCGTTGTAACTGGTTGGTCGTTGTAACTGGTTGGTCGTTGTAACTTGTTGGTTGTTGTAACTGGTTGGTAGTTGTAACTGGTTGGTCGTTGTAACTTGTTGGTTGTTGTAACTGGGGTTTGTGGTCGTTGTAACCTATCTGTTTTTACAGTACTACCACCATCACCTGCTACAACCAGTAACCACCACTATCAGCACACCACCACTAACCAGCACCACCACATCAGCACCACCACACCATCATCACTACAGCCACCACCATCACAACCACCATCAATACCAGCACCACCACCATCACTACCAGCACCATCACTACCAGCACCACCACTACCAGCACCATCACTACCAGAACCATCACTACCAGCACCACCACTACCAACACCATCACTACCAGCACCACCACAACCATCATCACTACAGCCAGCTCCACCACCATCTTCACTATCACAAGCATCACCACCACAACCACCATCACTACAACCATCATCACCACAACCACCATCACTACAGCCAGCTCCACCACCATCTTCACTATCACAACCACCACCACCACACCACCATCACTACAGCCAGCTCCACACCATCAACACCATCAACAGCCAGCTCCACCACCATCTTCACTATCACAAGCATCACCACCACAACCACCATCACTACAACCATCACCACCACAACCACCATCACTACAGCCAGCTCCACCACCATCTTCACTATCACAACCACCACCACCACAACCACCATCACTACAGCCAGCTCCACCACCATCTTCACTATCACAACCACCACCACCACAACCACCATCACTACAGCCAGCTCCACCACCATCTTCACTATCACAACCACCACCACCACAACCACCATCACTACAGCCAGCTCCACCACCATCTTCACTATCACAACCACCACCACCACAACCACCATCACTACAGCCAGCTCCACCACCATCTTCACTATCACAACCACCACCACCACAACCACCATCACTACAGCCAGCTCCACCACCATCTTCACTATCACAACCACCACCACCACAACCACCATCACTACAGCCACCACCACCATCTTCACTATCACAACCATCACTACCACAACCACCATCACTACAACCAGCTCCACCACCATCTTCACTATCACAACCATCACTACAACCACCACCACTACAACCATCACTATCTCAATATTATAAGTAACTACTACACTGCTACTTATAAATGAGATTACATGTAAATCATTTTCAGGCAAATAATTTACAATCCACTAACAATTTAGAGTAATTTACACAATTTTTACACCTGATTTACACAAGTCACGATTATAGATAAATTACAAACTCATTAAAACTTAAAAAAATAAGTATTTACTAAAATTAATTTTAATTTTTGGATTTATTACTAAATATAAAAAAAAATATTTTTTCCATTTTTTAATAAGTAATTTTTTTATTTTTTTATGCAAATTTAACCACTGTAGCGCCTTTGTGCAATTCAACTATTTACTAAAGTATTTGATTACACCTGTAACATTATTTACATAAGTTCCACAAAGGTACCAAAGGTGTCTCTGATTTTTTTTTTTACCACTTAGCTAATTAACTCAGGTACATCCCGTGAATTATTTTTTAAATTAGTTACCGATTAAAATTAATTGTCCTGTACAACTATATTATATGTATGGGAAAAATAAAAAAAAAAGTGAAAAAATACCAGTAAAAAAAAAATTACTAGTGTAAACTATGGAAAATTTGCCTGTGAAAATTTTTTAAAATAATGACAGTAGAAAAAATAAGACAGAAGTATCGGATTTTATTCGAGTCCACAAAAATTTCTTTACATAAAACATGTTTGTAAATACAAGAAAATGGTCAAATATTTTTGCTTTCAAATATTCTTTTTGAATGATGATTTTAAATTTGCAATTTTTTCTCAGAAAAAAAAATTGTTTTGGAGAGTAGTTTACCTCGTTGATAATAGGACTGATTATCGAGCCTTCACCTATCCATCCGCTGGATGACCCGTGAAGGTTTAACTCTTCACACATTAAATTTATACTGTCAATATTTAATGGTAGGCTAAAAAAAATTATTTCCTCTAATCAAAAATGGGTAACTTAAGTATTTTTAAGAATACGTTGTAAGGCATTATCATCTGTCTTCATGAGCTACGAATTTTATGTAATTTATTTTTCTGTTATAATCAGAAGGAAGTGGTAAACCGTTAGGGGTCATACAGCACCTGGGGGCATGTAAAGTAATCAGGTTTAATCCAAGAGAAGAGAAAGAAAGGTCTAATTTCTAAGATCAAGAGCCCTTGTTCCACTGAGTGTCTTGCACTTAAACTGTTCCATTGTGAAGAACATTAACACTGTTCCACTGAAACATGACCACACATCGACACCATGCCCAGCCCTTCTAGGGTAGGGTAGGTGCCTGAGCCCGAGCCTTTAGCTCATAAGACTGTCATTCCCATTTGCCCCCTTGTGGCGGGGATGGCAGACCAGAGAGGCCTAGCGTGTGGCTAGGCCTGGGGACAATTGGTCCCAAAGATGAGGAGGTACTTGTGCCTCCTCCCATGGGAGACTTAGGTCTCAGACACCCCCTAAAGAGGGAGCCAAGGCCGGGCCACCACTTGGAAAAGGCCCAGGCCGGGAGAATACCGGTGAATCTTTAATAATAATAATAAATATGATCACTGATATTGTTCCATTGTGAGTCAAATACTTGACACTGTTCCTCATTCGTTCATCTCACCATTTTGAACACTTCAAACTTGCATTAAAATGCCACTGACGTTTGTAACAGATCGAAGTTGCACCTGGTCCATTACACTCAGCTGACAGTCAGGCCAGGTCCAAAACACTCAGGTGACAGTCAGTGCAAGTCCAACACATTCAGCTGACAATTACTGCAGGCCCAAGACATTCAGTTGACAGTTACTCCAGGCCCAACATATTCAGATGACAGTCAGTGCAGACCCCCAGACAGTCAGTGCAGACCCCCAGACGGTCACCGCAGGCCCAACAATTCGGTTGATCTTCACTGCAAGCCCCAGACAGTCAGTTCAGAGAGCAATGTGACGCTTCATGTGAAGACTGAGATGGTCAGACCTGGAGAAAGCTCTCTCACACAGTCTACACTGGAAGGGTCTATCACCAGTATGTTTACGGTAGTGTCTCGTTAGTTCGTCAGATCTGGCAAACTTCCACCCACATCCCTTCCACTTACAAGTGTAGGGTTTCTCCCCAGTGTGAGTCCTTAAGTGGGCCTTCAAGTGGGAAGACTTAATGTAGGTTTTGGCGCATCCTTCGTAGGGACAGTTGTGGATAATGACTTTCCTACGTGCCCGCCTTCTACGAGGCTTGGCTGGAGGTGCTGGAATCTCTACAGGGGGGATAATCCCATTTGATGTCATGGTTGATGTAGAGGTGTTGAAATCCAGGTACTGGCCGTAGGTGGTGTGTGGGGGTGCCCAGGAAGCGGTGGAGGGGAGAGGGTATTCGGAGTGGTGGGTAGAGGGGTGAGGTTGCTGGTGTATGGAGTGGGGTCCAGTAGGGTATTGAGGTGGGGTAGGTGGTAGCACGTATTGGGGGGCTGATCCCTGTGATTGCTGCTGTGGGAGGGTCGTCGCAGCTCCCATGTACTGGAGGGGCGGTGGGGGACCTGAAGTGGAATAAGGGTCCTCCCTGCGTGGTATTGAAGGCCCTGAAGTGGAGTAAGGGTCGTCTCTGCGTTGTACTGAAGGCCCTGAAGTGGAGTAAGGGTCGTCCCTGCGTTGTACTGAAGGCCCTGAAGTGGAATAAGGGTCGTCCCTACGTGGCATTGAAGGCCCTGAAGTTGAGTAAGGGTCGTCCCTACGTGGTAATAAAGGCCCTGAAGTGGAATAAGGCTCGTCCCTGCGGTAGGTAACACAGGGGTACTTGGCAGGGGAGGTCAGTCCCTCAGGGGAGGTCCTTTTGACACCAGTACGACTGACACCCTGTGTCAAATCTGCCACTTCAGCCTTGACACGACACGAGGAAGCGGTGGTCGGGTCGTAGCCTGGGTGGGCGTAGTGTGGGTCCTGGTGTGGAGGTGTGGGCGGCAGGGCGGCTGTGTGGGCTGCCAGGGGTAATGACACCTCCACCAGCTCCGCCATGGGCGGCATGGTTGTACCCCTGGAGAGGTGTGGGTGATGGGTGGGCGGGTAGAAGGAGGGTAGGGGGTGTTGAGGGTGTGATGGGTGGCCGCTCAACGCCGTCATGGGCGGCAAACACCGCCC